TCAAAACTCAGAGAGCCAAGCATCTTGTACACAGGATGACAGGAAGATTTATGGTCTTAATTGGATGACTTGGGCAAGGGAGAGGAAGCAGCACTAACGGTGCTAGGGAAGAGAAACCGTGTCCCTAGGTACGGAAATAGCTGCAAAGACGGGCAGAAAAGGCTGCAACCACACCGGCAGAGCTTTATGCTGTGGGTGGTTTGTTTGGATGTGGGTCTCTGCCTGACTCAATGAATTCATTTGGTGTCAGTGGTCTCGCCATCTATAATGAAGCCTGGGTGAGGGAAAGAAGAGCTCATCTACCCATCCCTTTTGAAATCACACACCCAAAGGACAAATGGTTGACGAGGAGGCTCAGAGCCCTCAGCACAAGACGAAAGAGATTCTGCAGCTCTCAGCTCACAGTACGCCATAACCAGAACAGGACACCACATGGTTTTCCAAGAGCGCCCAAGAACCCCATCTCTCTGCGACATTTACAGAACGCTGGACTTCACCGGCTGTCTGCACTTAAACAGCTGCAGGTTATTGCATCTCCTTTTGCAAACATTGAGCTACTGGGGGGCGGGGGAGCCTATTTTCCAAGTGGTCCAAAGCCCTCCTCCATGGCTGTATGGCTATTAAAAAGTATTACTCTAGACAGGTTCTGGATGTGGGTATTTCCTTAAATGCCACCAAACAGGGATGCTGAAGTCCTGGAAGAGAAGACACAGATGCTAGTGTGTGACCCATTTTCCAATCTCAGCTCCCAGTTGTGTGAGGCCAGTCCAGGAGGTGGAATGCTTCTACCCTGCCGCTTGCTCATAAGGAAGACGAGGACAAGGCCAGGTGCCTTGGAGGGTTCTGAGAGTACTAGATGATGGTGTGCCTGGTCTCACATCCCTGGACTATGACCACATCCCATGTGGCTCCCCCTCGCACCTTAATAATAACAGAAGGCAGCAGGGACTTCACTAGGTGCACAACACACAGGCAGATCGGATATAGGGTGCTATTTACTCAGTCATTTCTGACCTAGGAAGATAATCAGGTTTGGCTTTCAGCACCATTGACAGTACACATCCATCTCATGCCAGAATGGAAATCAGGCCAGTGGCTTCAGAAAAGATTGCATGAAATTTGGAAATATGGAGAGAGCTCAGAGGGCATGTCTCACGGCTCATCTCACATGACTCAAATCCCAGTAAGTTTCAATTTCCTGCGTTCCATGTGAACTTTTGTATCTTGTTCAGTTCTTGGATGTGCAGAGCTGAGAGGAGTGCACCCCTCACAGCCACACCCCGTTGGGGAATTTCTCCTGACACTTGGTGACTAAAACATCCAAGTGGGCAGCAGACTATGCCATCTTAGTTCAGGATAGGGCTTTACTGGAATTCGCTTCCTTGATGAATCCTTGGTAAAACTGACCTCATTCCTGGGTTTCCACTGCTATTTCCCTTGGTCTGTGAACTCCCCTCATACTAATGAATGTCCTGAGTCAGCAAATTCCAGCTGCCTGGGGTGCACCTTGTGCAGGAAAATCACACCTTGGAAGAGAGCATGTGTGGAGTCAACCCCAGATGCTCTACAGTCCCAAGGGTACAGCCCTGCAGAAGCGCCCAGTCCAAACATCTGCGCATGAACCACCAAGAGCATCTGCTCTCGGGAAGAAACTCGGCCCCATAAAGCACCTGTCTGTACCAGAAGCAGAAGCGATTTCTCCGAGAGTTGAGCATGAAGGAGATTCCCTTCCTCCAAGTAAATTATCTTTAATCATTAAGAGGTTAATCATTGTATTTTAAAGACCTCAAAGAGTCTACTTAACGCTTGGGCTACATCATTAGCGTATTGCAAACCAGGAGGAGGTAAGATTTGACAAAAAGTTTTCTTAACTAGAAACATAACAGTTCATAAGAACGGCAGGAAGAAAGAATGCCTGCGGATGCTTCGCTGGCAGGAGGATGCTGAGCTGGGGGTTCCTGCGGTGACCCTGTGGGAAGGCGAACATCCAACAGAGGACAAGAGGCAGGTCACAGAGGGCTAACTTGAATGTCCACACAGTGTCTGTGCTGAGTTATGAGGCTTGTTGATGGATTCATTTTCCCTCGTTCCCACTAAGGATTTATTCCATGTGCAGCCTCACAATCAGTCTGTACGCCATTAATTTGCACACGGCACTTTCCGTCTCCTCTTGGGCTCCTTGTTTTCCAATGTGGTCACCAAATGCTTGCATGGGCGTTTTTACAGCACCTGTATTTTAAGCATCACCCATTAAACACTGATTGCTCTGCCTTACAGTAATCATGTAATAAAGGTTATTAACGATTAATATTTGAATGCATTGAGGCTGTGAAGGTATTTCTCTCAACACATACATTTATTTTAAGAGCAATCCCAGTGCAGGAGAAAAGTCCAATTTGGAAACAGATACTCATTACTTCGCCAATAAGTCCTCGTTTCCAATTCCTCTAGGAAACTGTCCAGCCGATGGTACTGCCCTGGTTATGGCTAAATAAGCAATGGATAAAAATAGGGTCCCAGGAGATGGCAAAGGGAAGTTCTGTTTTGTTTTTTCAAATGTTAGAACCCGAATAAAATTTCAAGCACACAAATCTTTGCCTTTGTGACTCTGGGTACTGGCAATACATATTCCCTTGTCCTGCTACCTCATTCATCATCTCTCCACTATTTCTGAGAAAATGTGCTTTGGTTTTACTCTTTCTGATGGGTGACGGGTCTTTCTGCGCTTTTGACCCTGTAGAACATACTACAGGCACCTTGAGGGATTTCTTCCCTGCAGGAGATCCTACACTAGTAAACAACCAAAAGGCCACGCAACTGATGTGTTTCTTGGGTTCTCGATCCCCAATAAACTGATCCCCATCCTCCTGATCTCATAAAATGTGGTCCACACAAAATGGGACACTTCAGCTCTAAGAGAGGATGAGGACAGACTCTCACCTTTTGCAACAACTCGCATGCAGCTGTCATGTTAAGTGAACTGAGTTAAGGGAGAAAGAACAAAAGCCAGATGATCTCTCATGGGTCGGGGGGGGGGGGGGAAGCAAGGAAATGGACAGTGTCCACTAACAATAAGCCCTTGGACTCTGACTACTGAACAGAGGTCACTGTGGAGGGGGGCAGGGGAGGGGAAGCGTGACCGTGGTGGTTTGGCAGGGGAGTGGAGTGGGGGTCTCTGGCACTTTTGTGGTTGTGATGATAAAGGAGTTTGTGAACCACCTACATTAATACAACACTGTTACAACCGTGGCCCCTCAAATACAACAGCAGAGAGAAATATGCAAATACACAGATAAAAGAAGGGGGAACGGGAGGGGACACAAGTGGGAGCGGAGGAGAACGATACACAGGGGTTATTCCTGGGCGATGCTCGGGGGACACTATGGGATGCTGGGAATCGAACACAGGTTGGCCGCTTGCAAGGCAAATGCCCTCCCCGCTGTGCTATCACTCCAGCCCCAAGTCCTGCCGATTCTAAGGAAAAACACACTCCAGGCAAACAAGGCTGGTTGGTGGGACACAGAACTCTTGGGGATACTTGGAAGGTCACCCCCAGAGGAACCCCAAGTTGCCTCGAGTAGGCATAATGGGGTGGGGGCTCCGGGCGCAGTTACTGAAGGAACGTGGTGGAGGCCATGTGCTGAAGCAACTGTGAGGCTGGCACAGGCGTAAGTGTTGCCTGGGAACCACGGTGGGATTCGGCCCTCAGAAGTGGGTTCATGTGCCCTGCTTCGCAGGTCTCAGTCTCTAAGGATATGGCCATGTGTTCCTGCGTCCTGAGCACTGTGCCCTCTGGGGTCCTGTGTGAATGCACAGGAAGTGACACAGGCCTAGAAGGTACAGGTGGTCACAGTGTCTGTGCCAGCTCCCTGACAAAGGCGGGGCCCACGGAAAGGAATCTGTCAGTGTTGTGGAAGCAGACACTCAAAGGGAGATCCACACCCGTGGCTTCCTCACAGACTCACAGGGACAGGCCCTCTTGTCTGATGCTACCCAGGACTGAAGGTAGCAAAATGCAGAGCTGGGGGTCCTGCTCATTAGGGGGCCCCGAGAGCTGCCACCCTCCACAGATGGCCTCCCTCTAGGTTCTACAGTCTCTCATGGTCCTGGGGCAGGTTATCTGTAGGTGTCGCCCTGCTGTGCACAACCCGGGCCTTTTTAGACTAGAAGAAGGAACAGTGTATATTATAGAGCAATCCATCCGCTGGTAGGGACAGCAGGTGCCAGGGAGAGCTGAGGAGATGCCCCTTCAATCCTCCTTACATCTTCATTTGTAGGCATTTGCTGACTGAACGCATGCTGGATGCCGGCCAGACACTGTGGAAAGCCTGGGTGGACAAGAATGAAATCTGAGGAGGAACTGGCTTCCTAGAGAGAGACAGGGGTCAAGAACCCAATAAACACAATCTGAAAAGAAACTTACTTCTCAGAAAGAGATGGGGGTCAAGAACCCAATAACCACAGTCTAAGGAGGAACTGGCTTATACAGTCTGAGGAGAAACTGGCTTCCTGGAGAGATGGGGATCGAGAACCCAATAAACACAATCTGAGGAGGAACTGCCTTCCTGGAGAGATGGGGATCAAGACTCCGATAAATACCACCTGAGGAGGAACTGGCTTCCTAGACAGAGAGATGGGGATCAAGAACCCAGGGCTGGGGACTTCCCCTTTCAGACAGAGAATAAAGAAATTCAGAGAGAATCTGTTGAGTGATATTGTTGACTCTCATCCGTTCCTAAACGCTAGACAGTGAGACAACTGGAGTCCAAGGACTGGCCGTTGCAGCACTGGCTCTGCTATCAGGCACCTCATCCTGGGAGTAGTACTAAACACCTAAGTACTAAGTACTAAATACCTAAGTAGTATGACAATATCTTTCCAGAGACCAAAAATGCATTTCATCAACAAATGAAGAACTTCTTCTCCTTGAGAACCTGGGTCAGTGTGACTTCTGATCATTGGATAAGTAGATGATGGCGGGCTGGGGCCAGAGCACTCACCGTTGAGCCACTTGGAGTTGTACTGGGCGGTGCGGAGTGGGGGCAGGACGCCCAGGCTCCGGTAGATGGCAGGATCCCGGCCCGGGAAGTCCATGACTGTGGCTGCATAGAGCTCACCGCCGGCCGTGAGCAGGGCCGTGGAGTTGTGCTGCGGGCTGTAGGGGCAGCGTGCCGTGCCGCTGATCTGATCGTGGATCTCCGTCAGGTTGCTCAGCTGGGGGGTGAGCACAGGAGAGAGGAGCAGTTACTGCGCTGAAGGTGCTTGTGGGCTGCGTGTCCCTGGCCTCCCAATAGAGTGCGTAGAACCAACCCTGAGGGCTCAGGAGAAGATGGGACACTGATGCCAAGGCCACGCCCTGGTCATGACTGGAGAGGCCACCTACCCCTCTCAGCCACCCTCCCTTTCTCATCTGGGGTGACTGCATCTCCCCAAGAGATAAAGCCAGGTTACTGTCTATGCCTTCTATCATGATGCACGAGTATGGCAAAGTTTTCCACTTTAATAAAGGCAGCAACTTCAATATTTATAGAGATACAACTGCAAGAAAGAATAATGTACAATTTCATCAATAGAAGTGAATCAAAACATGATGAATCGTGTAAAACTTGTTCCCAGGTTTGGGAACAAGGGAGCAAGGGAGCAAGCACTGGAGAGCCGGAATTTCCAAGGCTTTTCTCTGCAGCTTCAGAGGGAATAGGGAGCTGTGGGCATTGGGGGGCAACACCAGATTCTCAAATGATGAGTTCCCAACCTTATGGCTGTGTGAAGAAAGCCCTTTCTCTCTGTTCCTTGATTCTGACTGAGAGGACCCAGAGTGGGTGGAAGTAAGGAATTCCCAGGAGAACTGATGGAGATTACACTAGGGCCCACAGCTGAAGACTGCTTGCTGAGTGCCTCAAACTCTTGTGAAAATGGGGCCCCAGGAAAAGGCAGCTGGGATAGAGAAGGGGCCACTAAGTAAATGATGCTTGGAGGGCTCGCTTGGGATGGGACACATGTGCTGAAAGTAGATATGGGCCAAACATGATGGCATGATGGCTGCTTAGTACCTATATTGCAAACCATAACACCAAGAAGGAGAGAGAGAGTAAGTGCGTGTGTGTGTGTGTGGGGGGGGGGGGGGGGGCAAGGAGTACGGGTGGCAGGAGGGATACTGGGAACATTGGTGATAGAGAATGGGCACAGGTGGAGGGATGGGTACTCGATCATTGTATGACCAAAATGTAATCATGCAAGTTTGTAAGTCTGTAACTGTATCTCACAGCAATTCATTAAAATAAAAAATTAATAAATAAAATAAAAAAGGGGCTGGAGCGATAGCACAGCGGGTAGGGCGTTTGCCTTGCACGCGGCCAACATGGCCGACCTGAGTTCGATTCCTCCAACCCTCTCGGAGAGCCCGGCAAGCTACCGAGAGTATTCGATATGCCAGACACAGTAACAACAAAGTCTCCAATGGAGACGTTACTGGGCCCGCTTGAGCAAATCGATGATCAACGGGAGGGCCTTTACCTTTAAATAAAATTTAAAAAAAGAAAAAAATGGGGCCCCGATAATGATAACTGTCTGGAGATAATGCGAGGATAAACTAGCGGGGTCCCATAAGTGCTTACTGTTGGGTTCGCCCAGGGGCTGCAGGTGGAAGGGCCCTAAAATCTGCCGGTGAGCACCTGACACTCAGGAAACCACTCAGAGATTTTTTTCCATCCCGGAAGCGCCTATATGGGATTGCCCTGCACAGAAGCTCTGACTCCTCCTTCCATCCTGCACCCTTCCTGCGGTGGCCTGCCCTCTGTGATGTCCTGCCCCCAACCCCACCCAACATTGGGCATGGCTTCACTGGCTGCATTAAGGACCAGGGGACCTCACCCTGGAGCGTGCTTGCATCCTTCCAATACCCCGGCCCAGCCTGATTCCTTGGGGTCTCAACTTCTTCCTCTCCGAAATCCTGCTCCCACACCTTTCTTCTTAGTGTTGAAACCTGGGCTCGAGGGTCCGGGGGCCAGGATGATCCTCTTCCTGGACTCAGGTTCATAAGAACAGGGGCAGCGGGCAGCGGCAGCTCATGACGGGCTAGTCCCTCACTACCCAGGCTCTCAGATCAGAGACGACCAGCTGGCCCCATGACCTGACCCTCTGATGTCTGGGACAGTCTCAACCTCCATCCTGTCCTTCCTGACACCTCTTACCCACCATATTTTTGCCTTAAGTGGGTCCCATTCATGCCCAGAGGTTTCCTTTGCTCCTTTCATCCTTTCCAGGTGCCCTGTGGCCACGAAAAAGGTCCAGAACCTTTCCCTGTCAGTCCAAGCAACGTGAGCTCACATTCGGTCGCCTCTGCTGGGAGTTCAAAACTCCCCAACTGGAGTCCAGAATTACCCAAACACTTGCCTCTTCTGACTGTTACACATGCACACACACATGCACGCATACACATATGCGCACATACATGCACACACATATACACATACATGCAGACATGCATACACATACGCATACACATATATACACACACACATATGCACACACACACAAACACACACACACACACCTCAACGACTGGATTTTAGGAAGATTATTGGCAACCAAAATTCCAAAATTTTGGCTGCCTTGTGGCCTCCGTTAAGGTCCCCATCTGGGTCCTGGATATTCGACCCGGACGCCTTATCCACAACTGCTACATCCTTTACCCATACTCACACAATGAGGGGATGCACGGGCCCCAAACGGGCCTCTTAACAATCCCATAGTAATGAGCCTAAAGGCATGCTGCTTGAGCATGGATAAATGGACAGGAATCCCGTATGCTCAGGCTCTCTTGCTTTGGCACTCCTGCACCTCTCTCCTTAAAACCTGTCACCTTCCCGCGTTCCCCCTACTCTCAACATCCCTGACTCCTCCTGACACTCGGCTGACTCCCCCAATGACTCGGTCCCCAGGCCTGATTCGCTCCTCCTGTCCCCACTGCCGCCCGCTCTGCCCCGTCGCCTGCTCCAGTGCCCACCCACCCTCTTCTCCCCTCACCTCCTCCGCTGCTGACCCCACATGCCAAGGGACCCACTATGGAGTACAGGCACAGCCCTCAGGGGGCATGACCAGTGTATCCAGGGTTTGTTGCGGGCACGTGGGCAGCAACCCATAAAGCTTATAAATGCTGATAAGCTGAGAGAAGCAACTCAGCACCGCAAGAATCCAGCAGTCTCCTTGGAGTCGTCTGACAGAAGCTCTTCAGAGGGATGACCCTGAGTCCCCGGCAGGGGCGACCGAACCTGCCACTCATTTTCTCGGTCATTAGAAAGAAGCTCAAGAATGCCAAACACAGCCCTCAGACTCCTGTTTGAGTTCTGGTGAACATAGCCTTTAAAGTTTTTAATAAGTCGGATGAACAGGGTGAGGCGGACAGAGAGGCCTGCGGTTGCCAGAGGTAGCATTACGGGCACGATCTCTACAAGCACCATTACCTCAGTCTCCTCAGGGTTCAGGACAAGGGAAACTGAGTCTGCTCCAGACGTGGGAAGGAGGGGCGCTGGATCAGATCTAACCCTACTCCACATCCTCCCAGCCATGCCCTGACTGTGGAAACTGGGTCACGGGGGGAGGGACTGCCCCTCAGTGCTTCCCCGGGATGGGAACAGTCCCTCCCACCTTGTCTTAGTTCCAGAAATTCTGGACTTGGCAGCAGAAGACCGAGGCAGCCCAGACCCAGAAGGACTGTCCTGCCCTACTCCAGAAAACTTGGCTTTTTGCTGATGTGACTCTGCGTCCATCCGGTTGACAGAAACTTCCCTAAGTCTTATTCAGAAAGGAGGGGCACAGCAAGAAAACCTATGGGGTTTTGAAAAAAAAGCTTCCTTTACTAGCCCTCTGGCAGCACTAAGGCAGCCTCTTCCTCTGTGTGATATTTTAATGAGAAATTAGGCTGTTTTACAAACAGCCATTTCAGGGAACAAAGCTCCATTTATCACTCCTGGTGGAAAGGGCCCCAGCCTTGCAAATGTATTGCCTGCCTCTGATAACAGACTGGAGAGAAAAAGGGACTCATAACTTAGCCACAGCTGCAAAGACATGCTTTAATTTTAGTGGTTTCTAAACATGGAGAATTGACAAAATCTGCAGTAAATAACTGTAACCAGTTTTTTTTTCAGATTATATTATTATTATTAGTTGGGCTGGAGCGATAGCACAGCAGGTAGGACGTGTTTCCCTTGCACATGGCCGACCCAGGTTCAATTCCTCCACCCCTCTCAGAGAGCCCGGCAAGCTACCGAGAATATCTCGCCCACACGGCAAAGCCTGGCAAGCTACCCATGACGTGTTTGATGTGCCCACAACAGCATTAACAACAAGTCTCACAATTTGTTGTGAGACGTTACTGGAGCCCGCTCGAGGAAAAAAATCGATGAACGGGAGGACAGTGCTACAGTGCTATATTATTAATTCACTAAAGTACTGCAGAACACAGTTTGCCATCCTAAAGGATGATTAGGGACTTGTTTCCAAATTTCTTGAAACTCAAGCTGTACTAAGTTCAGTGGGATAAGGAAGTTAACCCTGTAAGATGTGACTATAAGGAGGGAGTGAAGATGTATATTTTAAGTAAGAAAGATAATAGGTAGAGATATCTTCAGTGGAAAAAAAATAAATCCTATTAAAGTGAAGCTGGTTTTGACAGGACAGGATTCAATCAAATGAATGTGAAGGATGTGTTTTTAAAAAATAAACTGATCAAAGTGGAAAATGGTATTTGATAATGGTCCAGACTCATATTACAGTGCTCTTTGATAACTGGATACTTAGAAAATGTTACAGGAAATAATTGTTTTCGACATGGGACTAAATAAATGAAACATGATGTTGTGAAATTGTATGCTTTACCTCTGGGTCCTGCTCTCAGTGTCAAAAAAACCCCTGGAAACCGAGATCTCTCCCAATCCTGGAAAGGAATGGGATGGACTCTGCCCACCAGAACAGTCCCACAGAAGATGAGAGGCCCAAGGCCACCTCCAGATTACCCTGCTCAACTGATCTTCACTTCTTCACAAAGGCCACGCCTAGGTAATCCCGAAGTGACAGATAAAATATTAATTCTGCTATTGGTCTGTCCTTGGCCAATCCCCAGCACCTCTCAGCAAATAACTCTAGCACTGTAGCACTGTCCTCCCATTATTCATCGAGTTGCGATGAACGTCTCCATTGCAAGACTTGTTGTTACTGTGTTTGGCATATCGAATATCACATGGGTAGCTTGCCAGGGGCGAAGGAATCAAACCCTGGTCGGCTGTGCTGGCTGTGTGCAAGGCAAACGCCTTTTCCACTGTGCTATCGCTCCAGCCCCAGCAAATAACAGGGTACCCCCAAAGCAGGTCTCCAATACTGCTGTATTTATGCAAAGGAACACAATATGAAGCCATCTGGCAAATTTAAAGCGAAGGTGGAGAGAAAACTATGGCTAGGAACTTGCCCTCAGTAAAAATTAGATTCTAGTTTTGCAGAGTGATTGAATAAATGTATTCCAAGGGGCCTGATTAAAACTGGGCTTAACGGGCCTGATATACCTAGGACCTATGGGCCATTTTGTGGTTTCCGTTGGTAGGGCTGTTAATTTTAATAATGGTCACTTTCTTCCCACCCCATGTCTCCTAAAGTTCATCCAGTCACAATCCAGGAAACATCTCTGACCACCTTTGACCGGCTGAGCCTTCAACCATATACCTGACCACTGACCCCATTCTGTGACCTTTTCCCTTCCCCATGTCACCCCCCCCCCAACAGAAAGTAGCTTTCTGCCCTCCCCCAGCAGGAAGTCATTTGAGGCTGCCTCTACCCCACTTCTGTTATAAAGGAAAGGCCTGAATGCTGGGTGGGCCCGAGGGCTCCCAGTAGAAGGGACCCGAAATCTGCTGGTGAGCACCTGAAACCACTCAGAGATTTTTCCATCCCAGAAGCTCCTATCTGGGAATGCCCTACCTGCACAGAAGCTCTGACTCCCTCCTTCCATCCTGACCCCTGCCCACAGCGACCTGCCCCCTGTGATGCCCTGCCCCCCACATTAGATGTGACTCCACTGGCCTCCTTAGGGACCCACAGACCTCGCCCGGGAGTGCACTTTCCTCCTTCCAATATCCCTGTTCAGCCCCATTCCTCTGGGTCTCAGATTCTTCCTGTCCGCAAACCTGCTCCCAGGCCTTTCAGAAAATGGTACCTGACAGCTCTCCAGGGGCTTTGATTCTGCCCCCCTTCCCTTATTTCCAATAATTGAATGCTAATTTGAAAATGAGTAGTAAAATCAGTTGATAAGTTCAGGTATTGAGAAAAGTTGAGCAAGAAGAAAGTTAACATAATTCTATTTCTTTTCTGCCCTGCCCCCCCAGAGATCAAATTAATATCCTGAATCAGAAAGGAGACACCTGAACGTTGGTACCACTGCTCTTCTCCTGAGTAAGATGATGATGTTGAAAGTCCCATTGTCAGTTAATGAAAGGCGAGAGCAAATGGGGGCCCTGCAGCTGGGCTGGTTCACAGCAGAACTCCTTGTCTATGGGTAGACTTTGTGATGCTTCTGATTCTATCTGAAAATTGTATTTTCTCCATTGGAATGGTGATTTTCAGCCACTGTAATGCCTATCTTTATAGTTTAGCAGAAAAAAATAAATGACTAGGGTCAGGATCACCATTATTGTAAAGAGGATGGTAGAAATATTTCAGCGACATATTTAAATTCAATTGTATAAATTCTAATTGTTTCCAATTGGTTACATATTTGGCAGTTATGATTATCCATAAGTCAATGAAATAGTTATTCTGTTTGACAGGAGGTGGTTTTAAAATTCTAGTTAGGAAACATCTCCTCGGAGAATAGAATGACTTTTAAAACTCAGATTTTCCTAGAAGGCTTGAGCTTCTCTGGGGGCCAGCATGCGCTGGGCATCTCAGGTGCCATACCGTTCGGTTGGTGCAGACAGGCGTGAAGGCATTGGTCCCACAGGTGAATAGTCGGTCACCGCCCACCAACAGCACCCGGATGTAGTTCTGACATTCTTCCTAGAAAAGAAATCACCAGAAACATGTTAACAAGGTCCAAGCACAAGACGGTTGGGGATGAGGAATACATTTGGTATTACCTTAATGAATTAAATGTCAGCCAACATGGAAATTGATCTAAAACTACAGAAATCTGATTTTCTCTACACACATACTAGCCTAACAACAAGTTTTTAGGCAAGTGTCTCTTTTGCAGAGGTGGTGGGGTATGGGGAAGTTATTTGGTTTGGGGTCAAACCCGGTGGTTCTCAGAGGTTAGTTCTGATTCTGTATTTTCAGTAGTGACCCCTGGGGGTACTTGATGGACCATGTGTGATGCCAGGGATTTAAGCCAGACTCAGCCACATGCAAAAGAAGAGCCTTAGCCCTTAGGGTTTAGAACCTCAGCCATGTACTACTATGCCTTCAGATTGGAATATTTAGTAGGATAAATATCTGTCCATGGTATGTGTTTTCGCTGTTGATATGATTTCCTTCGGAGATGTATGTGATAATGGCACAGATCCTAAATTGCATTTGGCATGTACTGTATACCGTAAGGAAAGAAACATATAGACTGTGAAAGGGCATATCAGAAGACTTCCCAGGGACTTTGAATAAAAGCTATAAATGCTTCTACAAAGAAGAGAGTCATTATGTGAAATGAAATTCTGTCTACAAACTGGCACATGTTTCACATAAAGTTCTCAAACAGCATCACGTTTACAGCAGACATCAAGAAACATCCGTATCCTCTGATAGACAAATGAAAAAATAGACGATAAGGAAAGGATATCTGGAGCACGTGAGAGGGAAATCCTTGCTAAAACATGACAAAGAATTTTTTGTTTTGTTTTGTTTTGCTTTGCTTTGTTTTTGCTGTAAAAGCCTTGATCAGCAATTGTGGTCACAGGGGCTGGAGCAACAGTACAGCGGGTAGGGCGTTTGCCTTGCACACGGCTGACCCAGGTTCGATTCCCAGCAATCCAGATGGTCCCCTGAGCACCACCAGGAGTGATTCTGAGTGCAGAGCCAGGAGTAACCCCTGTGCATCACCAGTTGTGACCCAAAAAGCAAACAAACTAAAAACACCAATTATGGTCATAGCAGGGGCATGGGCCCCTACTGATGAGGTTCTCTGATTGGCATGTGGGAGAGATTCCTATACAGGCTTTGAGAAAGAAACTAAGGAACAGAATAAGAGTCAGGGAGAAGGGAAGACTTTTGGAGAAAGTGAAATTCAAAATGAATTTTAGGAACAGGATTTAGTAAGCCTTCCCGGAGGAGGTGCCACCTGGTCCCTCCAGGAAGTAGCTGAGCAAAAGAGAAAACCTTCTAAGCACAGGGAAGGGCCTGGACTAGGACTCTCAGTTGGAGAAAGCAGGTGGTTTCACTTGGTACAGAAGAGAAACAAGAAGCTGAGGAACTATGCAGAAGTCCCATCTGCAGGTCAGTGAGCCGGTCCAGTGCTGTCTGCATACTAGGACACATTTCTACCTTTTACATTGTCCTGCATGTCTTTTTCTGTCTGTCATTGAAGCACCAGCTGGGAATCGAGGAAGGAGCTAAACTAGAGATAGGCAGGCTGCAGCTTGGGAGGCAAATACAGAAATCACCCCCACAAAATCCAGCCCCTTCCTACTTTCGGCTGCACCATGGTGGCGGAATGAAAGCGACAGCAAGGATAGAGCAGGTCAATGGGATGGAGTGACCGACAGCCCTACAGGACACTTAAGATGCGCGGGATAATGATGGTACCAGACGCAAGCTGCCATCCCACAGGGCCCCAGGCCAGGAAGATCTGGACCCCGTGAAGCAACAATGATCTCTTCTCTTCAACCAGCCTCCAGGCCCCAGGGATTTGCATTACTCAGTCTGTGGAAGATGGAAGGGCTGAGATCTCTAAATTCGTTTTCAGAGGAAGTGCGGCAAATAACAAGGGTATACAATTCTCCTAACGCTCTTCCTAGCAATAATCACGATGCATCAACACTGGCTGCTAAGCTGAAGACAGTTTGACTGTGGAAAACCAGAACAGGATGCAGGATCTAAGTAAACCCTCAGAAGAATGACAAACTAAGCATAAACAGGAGACGCAGAGCGGGTCACTGAGAAAAGTAACCAGATGGGGAGGCTTGTTTGGCTCGGCTCTGTTTTGTGTTTGTAGCCGGGAAAAGGGCAGGAGGGTTCTCAAGGGAAAGAACAAAACAAGACTTGAAAGAACAAGCGCAAGAGCCTTTCCAGACTCATGACAGGCAAGGGGGGCCGGTGGCACGCCCAGCTCAGGGGCAGGGACACAGAGTTGGCACATCTGGGCCCCCCACAGACATTCTGGAGAACTCGGGGCAGAGAGGGGTAGACGCCGTGTAGGGAGAGCAGAAAGGACACAGCTTGTTCTGCAGCAGAGTGGAGGGGGCGTTGCTCCTTGCTGTGGCTTGCAGCACCCATTCAGGAAGCCAGCAAGAGACACTCACTTTTCCTCCTTTTATTGATTAATCAAGGGATCAGCATGGGATGGAGGCAGGAATGAGAGCCACAGACCCCGAAACAGTGGCCTGGGCTAAGTTCTTTCAGGAGAAGCATCTGCCCGGCCAAGATGAGAGCTGCAGGGCCGGGAAGCGCCTCTGAGCCAGGATGCGAGATGCCATCAAGATAGGAACCTAGGGGCTGGAGCGATAGCACAGTGGGTAGGGCGTTTGCCTAGCATGCCGATTCCCAGCATTCCATGGGGTCCCCCAAGAACTGCCAGTAGTAATTCCTGAGTATAGAGCCAGGAGGAACCCCTGTGCACTGCCGGGTGTGGCCCCAAAAGAAAAAAAAAATGATAGGAACCTAAAGGAGAGAGTGTGAGAACAGGCCGCAAAGGTCAGAGACGTGGCTCCGTGCAGGAACACGGAAACAGATGGGAGACCCTGAGTCTAGGCCCCGCACCGTGGTTGTCAACACCCTCCAAAGCCCATCGAGCAATAGATGAACACGGAGAAAAAAGAATGTCAGTGAAATCCAGGATGTCAGAGTGGGCCGGGAATGCAGGGCAAACCCCAGCTGGTAATTTCAAACACGGCCATGGAAAGAAAGGAAATGAAGGCAACAAAAGGTGGTGAGGAGACCCGGGGAGCCTGTTGGATCGTGAGGGCCAGGTGGGAGTGGGCAGGGGGCTATGCTCTCTGAGGAGCATCCCCTATCCATCCCCGAGGAAAACAGCAGAAGCCAGGAGTGGCGTTGCAGAGGCTGATGTGTCCAGTGGGACAGGGTCGAGCTGCCCCAGAAGCGTACAACCTAAAAGGCAGCTCAGCTGACCTCTGGGCACAAGGCCAGTGCTGAGGAGAGTGGGGGCCCCTCCTGACACCAAAAAAGGGCCCCTCCACTGGCAACCACACAGGGAAGTGTGTGTGTGTGTGTGTGTGTGTGTGTGTGTGTGTGTGTGTGTGCATATATGTGTGTGCATATGGGTGCATGTAAGAAAGCCTAGGGGCTAAGACACTTGCCTACCCTGGAGCCACTGATCCCCTGAGCACAGCCCAACACTGCCCTCCTCTGAAGGCATTCCTGCTAGAGGGATCCTACACTCTGCCCCTCTGGCCTGTGTGTGTATATGTGTTTGCATATGTGTGCATGTGTGTGCATATGTGTGTATGTACATGAGTGTGTATGCATATGTATGCATATGTATATGCACATGTGTGCATGGGTGTGCATTTGTGTATGCGAGTGCATATGTGTGCACATGTGTATGCATATTTATGTGTATGTGTGTGCATATGTATATGCATATATGTGTGTGTGAATGTTTGTGTGTGTGCTTGTACGTTTAATTGTCAAGAACTGAAGGAACTGGGCTGAAGAGAAAACCTAGTTGTTAAGACACTTGCCTTCCTTGGGGCCAACCCGGGTTTGATCCCCTGAGCACAGCCCAACACTGCCCTCCTCCCCTAGAAAGAACTGAAAGCATTCCTGCTGGAGGGACCTTGCCCTCTGTCCTGCTGACCTCCAGTCCGGCCTCTGGGATCCCCATGGGGCCTCTAGAAGCCACGAGCAGACCCGCTCCAATGAGGAGCCTCGCTAAGATGCCCCCACTAGCACGGCCATCCCATGGGAGCCAGGCTGTGTTATTCTCCCCTAGGAGGTCTCTCCTATACGGCGGGATCTTACCCTGCTCCAGGACCAGAATGACTGCAAGTGTCAGGAGGACAGAGCCCCAGATTCTAACCGAGACTGTCCCACCAACGAGCGAAAGCATCCTAAGAATCCCATGTCAGAAACGCGGCTGAGATGGCAAAGAGGGGGAAGGAGTGAGCGTCGGCGATGCAGACTCTGAACACTGGGGCTCTGTCGGGTGCCCACTATCCTGGCAGGAAGGCGCTTGGCAGAGCCATAATCACCCCAGGCGGACAAGGAACCCTTGTTAGAAGATAAGAAAATGAACCATCTATGTTTGCGATAATATTTGTGTAAGCAGCATCTCTCTCTCTCAAAGAAGATGCCGGTCCTGAATTGCCAACAAAACTTAACAACAATTTTCCTTAGGTATCAAAAGTTTTATCATCATGAGACTTAACTGCGGCCAGAGTCTGAGGCCACTTTTCTGCAAGCTGAGGGGGATGCTGCATAAAGAAGCCAGAACTCAAGCTTCTGAGCACGTGCCAGTGTCTGCTCCCCGTACCCCCCTCCCATCTCCCGAATGTCCTGGCTGGGGGATCTGGCCCATATCGAACAGGTGACACAAGAGACAGCGCTTTTGAGTCTAGCGCGTCGGGGGGCACCGCAGGTCAGGCGCCTGGCCCACAGCAGACGGGGACTGTTCTCACCAGGGAAAGGAGTGGGTGCAGGCAGCCTCACCCACAGTCTGAGCCCCGAGCCCCCTCTTCAGATTCTTGGCTCATACAGATGTCCAGAAATGCCCGGCATGGGGCTGCACCATCTGCCCGCCTCAGGGCCAGGGAGCAGGCTGGCATTTTCCTCATTTTTGAGATGTCCCATTTTGCTTTATTCTGGCCTTTTCATGAAGGGAACCTGCGACT